TGTCCAGGGGGAGGGGCTCCCCCTCACTCTCCAAGCACCTCTGGCCGGGTGGTGGGATTCCTAATCTTCTGTCTCCACAGGAAGAGACCCCCAAGGGGGAGGGGGCAGAGCAGGAGCCCAGCGCCGCTGAAGGAGATGATGATGGACGAAGACACGGGTTCCTTATTCTGAGCCGGGAGGACTCTACCATGGTGAGGGGCGGGTTGGCCGCCAGGGCGGGGTTCCCCCTGTACGCGGTGCACCTCATCCTCTGCCACCCACAGATCCTGCAGACAGGGCAGGAGATCATGGAGCTGGACACCAGTGGCTTCGCCACACAGGGCCCCACGGTCTTTGCTGGCAACATCGGGGACAGTCGCTACATCGTGCAAGTGTCACCACTGGGCATCCGCCTGTTGGAAGGAGGTGGGCAGGGCTGGCCAAGCTAAGTGGGGTCCTGTTGGAGGGGAGGGGAGCCGGGGATGCGTGCCGACCCCACAGCGCTGATCATCCCGGGTCTGCAGTGAACCAGCTGCACTTCATCCCTGTGGACTTGGGCTCCCCCATCGTGCAGTGCGCGGTGGCGGACCCCTACGTGGTCATAATGAGTGCTGAGGGCCAGGTCGCCATGTTCCTGCTCAAGAGTGACTCATACGGGGGACGCCACCACCGCCTGGCGCTGCACAAGCCGGCGCTGCACCACGTAAGCAAGCCCCTCTTCCCTCCCCTGTGCGCTGAGCCCCCACCACGAGCCCCGCCCCTCCTTGAGCCCCGCCCCCTGCTCGCCCCGCCCCTCCTCTGCCCGCAGCAGTCCAAGGTGATCACGCTCTGCGTGTACCGCGACCTTAGCGGCATGTTCACCACGGAGAGCCGCCTGGGCGGCGCCCGGGACGAGCTGGGGGGCCGCGGTGGAGCCGAGGCGGAGGGCCAGGGCTCGGAGACCAGGTGCGTGGGGCCGGTGCGCGGATGGGCGAGGGTCGCTGCGGCAGGCCGCCCGTGACGCGTTTGCCGTCCCAGCCCTACGGTGGATGATGAAGAGGAGATGCTGTACGGGGACTCGGGCTCCCTGTTCAGTCCCAGCAAGGAGGAGCCCCGCAGGAGCAGCCAGCCCCCCGCGGACAGGGACCCCACGCCCTTCCGGGCGGAGCCCACGCACTGGTGCCTGCTGGTGCGGGAGAACGGCGCCATGGAGGTGGGTGGCGTCCCCGCCCCCACCCCGCCCCCCCAGCCCCGGTCCCCGCCCCGCAGCTCACCTCCACCCCCCGCCCCAGGTCTACCAGCTCCCCGACTGGCGGCTGGTGTTCCTGGTGAAGAACTTCCCCGTGGGGCAGCGCGTCCTGGTGGACAGCTCCTTCGGGCAGCCCACCACGCAGGGCGAGGCCCGGAAGGAGGAGGCCACGCGCCAGGGCGAGCTGCCCCTCGTCAAGGAGGTGCTGCTGGTGGCGCTAGGGAGCCGCCAGAGCCGGCCCTACCTTCTGGTGAGTCCCGGCCCTCCCCTGGTGGGAGCCCTGCACTGCTGCCCCTTTCGTCTGACCACCCACTGCCGCCAGGTGCATGTGGACCAGGAGCTGCTCATCTATGAGGCCTTCCCCCACGACTCGCAGCTTGGCCAGGGAAACCTCAAAGTCCGCTTCAAGAAGGTACGGTGGCCGGCCGAGCTGGGTGTGGGGCCGGCGCAGAGCAGGGTGGGGGCAGGCCCCGGCCCTCACAGCAGCACCCCCAGGTTCCCCACAACATCAACTTCCGGGAGAAGAAGCCAAAGCTGTCCAAGAAGAAGGCAGAAGGCGGCAGCACCGAGGAGGGGGCTGGAGCCCGGAGCCGAGTGGCGCGGTTCCGCTACTTCGAGGACATTTATGGCTATTCAGGGGTAGGCTCGTGGCTTCCCAGGGGCCCGGGGTGGGGAAGGGGGCCGGGCCCCAGTGGCCTCCTCACAGGGCTTGCCCTTAGGTGTTCATCTGCGGCCCCTCACCCCACTGGCTCCTGGTGACTGGTCGGGGCGCCCTTAGGCTGCATCCCATGGGCATCGATGGCCCCATTGACTCCTTTGCCCCGTTCCACAATGTCAACTGCCCCCGTGGCTTCCTGTACTTCAACAGACAGGTAGGGAGCCTTCGAAGCCGGTACTGCCCACCCACGGTCCAGCCCGATGCCCTCCCGCACTCGCCAAGGCTGCCGAGGGCAGGAGGTGTGGGGGCCCCAGAAATGAGGCCCTCTACATCTGAGGCTCCACCTGGAGGGCCAGGGGGTGTTCAGAGGGTGTTGGGGCTCAAGGCCGGGAGGTGAAACTGGGAGCTTAACTGCTGGGAAGATTGGGAGGATGGGGCAGTCAGCAGTGGGGACTGTAATCCCTGAGCATGTGCCCCTGGGAAGCCGGGGTGATGGCCACTCTGCTGGCTTGGACCCCAGCTCTGCCCCTTAGGGCTGTGTGACTGGGCAAAGTGCTTACCCTCTCAGCCTTTGTCTGCATCCCTGTCCCCAAAATGCCAGCAGTGGCCCCTGGGCCACCCTGAAGACTTGTGATCCTAACACGGCTGTACTTCTGAGGCATGGGAGCCGAGGGCTGGGGTGGAGCACACAGCCGGCTGGCAGGGCCTCACCCTCGGTGCAGACCCTGGTATGGCCAGCATGTGCAGCCCATTGCCTGCTGCCTCCAGTGCCCTCTGGGTTAGGCCCCTGCTTGCCCTGGCTCGGCCGTGGTACCAGTGCCCCAGGCCTAGGAGCCCAGGATATCAGGGGTGGGAAGCCTGTGAAGCACGGGGCAGCACCTGTGGCCCTTCCAGGGCCCCACTGGACCAGCAGCCCTTGCATGCCCCTGCTGCAGCGGCACTGAGAGCTGACCCCAGGGAGCCCGCAGAGGCCTGGGTTCGCCTGCCCCCTGCAGCGGGTGCCGTGCCTCACTGGTTCCTGCATCTGCCCCCAGGGTGAGCTGAGGATCAGTGTCCTGCCTGCCTACTTGTCCTATGATGCCCCGTGGCCCGTCAGGAAGATCCCGCTGCGCTGCACAGCCCACTATGTGGCTTACCACGTGGAGTCCAAGGTCTGCTGCCCCCTGCCCCTCCATCTCCAGACCAGGGACCCTCTCTGGTCCCATGCCTGGCATGTGATGCCCCTCCACCACCCCCCAGGTGTATGCTGTGGCCACCAGCGCCAACACGCCGTGCACCCGCATCCCTCGCATGACGGGCGAGGAGAAGGAGTTTGAGACCATTGAGAGAGGTGAGCCACCCCAAGCTGGGCCCATTCTTGGGGCCCCCCCTGCCCTGACCCATTGCCCCTTTGTCCCTGCAGATGACCGGTACGTCCATCCCCAGCAGGAGGCCTTCTCCATCCAGCTCATCTCCCCAGTCAGCTGGGAGGCTGTCCCCAACGCCAGGTGAGGCCGGGGCTGTGGGGTGGGGGGCGGGGGCCGGCGGCCAGCCCAGCTCGCACCCTGACTGGCCTCACACAGGATCGAGCTGGAGGAGTGGGAGCACGTGACGTGCATGAAGACGGTGTCACTGCGCAGCGAGGAGACTGTGTCCGGCCTCAAGGGCTACGTGGCTGCAGGGACCTGCCTCATGCAGGGGGAGGAGGTCACGTGCCGTGGGCGGGTAAGGGGCTTGTGAGGGGGTGGGCAGTGCCCAGCAGCCCAGTGCCATCCCCAAGCATCACCCACTCTCCCTGGCAGATCCTGATCATGGATGTGATTGAGGTGGTGCCAGAGCCTGGCCAGCCCCTGACCAAGAACAAGTTCAAGGTCCTGTATGAGAAGGAGCAGAAGGGGCCAGTGACCGCCCTGTGCCATTGCAACGGCCACCTGGTGTCAGCCATTGGCCAGAAGATCTTCCTGTGGAGCCTGCGGGCCAGTGAGCTGACGGGCATGGCCTTCATCGACACTCAGCTCTACATCCACCAGATGATCAGCGTCAAGAACTTCATCCTGGCTGCAGACGTCATGAAGAGCATCTCGCTGCTGCGCTACCAGGAGGACAGCAAGACGCTGAGCCTCGTGTCCCGGGACGCCAAGCCCCTGGAGGTGTACAGTGTGGACTTCATGGTGGACAATGCCCAGCTGGGCTTCCTGGGTGAGCACAGGCCCTGGGGCAGGTTCCTGGGGCCTCCGGGTGGGTGCTGACTCTAGGCTCTGCTCCCCCCAGTGTCTGACCGTGACCGCAACCTCATGGTGTACATGTACCTGCCAGAAGGTGAGTGTTACCCGTGCCCTCCTTGCTGGTCAGGAGGCTGGGCGGGCAGTGACCGCAGTTCTTCCTGCCCAGCCAAGGAGAGCTTCGGGGGCATGCGCCTGTTGCGCCGAGCTGACTTCCATGTGGGTGCCCATGTGAACACTTTCTGGAGGACCCCATGCCGGGGAGCTGCCGAGGGGCCCAGCAAGAAGTCAGTTGTGTGGGAGAACAAGCATATCACGTGGTTCGGTGAGTGCAGAGCTGGATGTGGGTGGGCATGTGGCATGGCCAGCCTGGTGCTCACGCTGCCCCTCCCTAGCCACCCTGGACGGCGGCATTGGGCTCCTGCTGCCCATGCAGGAGAAGACCTACCGGCGGCTGCTGATGCTGCAGAACGCGCTAACCACTATGCTGCCCCACCACGCTGGCCTCAACCCCCGTGCCTTCCGGTGAGCACACCTCTGCTTGCTTCCCTGCCCACCCCTGGGTCTGCCCTGACCTTGAACTGTGCACACGTGCTTCCCCCAGGATGCTCCACGTGGACCGGCGCATCCTGCAGAACGCCGTCCGGAACGTCCTAGACGGGGAGCTGCTCAACCGCTACTTGTACCTGAGCACCATGGAGCGCAGCGAGCTGGCCAAGAAGATTGGCACCACACCAGACATCGTGAGTGCCACTGGCCTGCCCCATCCCCACCCCACTGCCCTCCACAGCCGCTCCCACTCACCAGCCCCCTCCCCGTACAGATCCTGGATGACCTCTTGGAGACTGACCGAGTCACTGCCCACTTCTAGACCTGTGGAAGCTGTCGCTGCTCCCCCCAGCCCCCTTTTGTACAAAACACAAGAAAAAAGATGTTTGATATAAGAAGAGCTTGTGGTCATTGCGGGCCTCCCGGCCTGACTGTGCGCGTCTCCCCACCCACCACCAGGCCGCAGTTGCTCCAGTGCCGAGGTCTTGGGGTGTCCACACCTCCAGGCGGGTGTGCTCCATGGCCCTCCTGCCCAGGGGCTCCCTAGGTCTCCAGGTACTGGTACAGGCCCTCGGCCTCGGGCAGGAGGCCCAGGGGCACCAAGATGCGAACCAGAAAGGTGGTGAGCCGCATGGCCAGGGTCTCCAGCCTGGAGTGGGGGCCGAGGGGCTGCAGGTTAGTGGGGCAAGGACCCGCAGTCACATGCCCACCGGCCCCGCCCCCACCCACTCACCTCAGGGCAACTTCAAACTTGAACATCTCCCAGGTGGCCCGGACATGGCGCAGGAGGCTGGTGCTGTAGACGCTCTGGTACGCTGCACTGGCCAGGCGGCTCCAGGCCCCGACCGCACTGCCCAGAGACACCATCACCTGTCCTGGCCCTGCCACACCCCCAGGCCCACCCCCCACCCCGCCAGCACCCACCTCTTGGCCATGAGGAAGTAGCGGTCAACGGGGGTGCCGAGGGCCGTGTTGATGGCGCGCACAGTGTTGATGTTGCGCAGCACCAGCAGCATGGGCCGCGGCAGCGCCTTGAGCACGGCCATGATGTCCTCGAAGTGGCCCCGCGCCATATCCTGCATGTAGGCAGCCTCCTCACGGCTCAGCAGGCGTGAGCGCCACAGCTGCCCCAGGCGCACTGGCCGCTGCATGAGCACCTCAGAGAACAGGAGGTAGTCTGGGGGGGCCTGAGCCAGGGCCACATGCCCCGCATGTCCCACACCCGCACCCGCCGGCCTCACCTTGCACCCCAAGTGCGGCTGCATGCGCCTTCATCGCCGTGTCATCCCTCAGTATGATGGCCCGCCACAGCTGGCACAGGGCTGACCTGTCTCTGTGGGGTCCAGCAGTGAGCCCAGCACACGGAGCCAGCAGGGCCAGCATCCTCCAGCCCCCTGCTTACTTTTCATCCAGGAACTGGTAGAGCCCGTGGTCCAGCAGCACCAGCTGTGCCCTCCCATCCGGGCCTTTCCGCACCAGAACTGGGGACATGGCATCAGTTCGCGCTGTGTCGGCACTGCTGCGCGGGCCTGGTCCCTACCCACCTCCCCAGGGCCTTTCCTACCATTGCCTGGGTGGGGGTCAGAATGGATGAAGCCAGTGTAAAATATCTGCTCTGCAAAAGCCTGGATCAGCTTCTCTGCTACCTGGGGGAGGAGGCCCACAGCATCATTACCCCCGGGCACTCAGCACCCATGCCCCGCACCCGTGCCCCACTCACATCTTGCACTGCCAGCCCCATGGTCTGGATGGCCTCCATATCGTTGACCTTGCAGCCTTCGCAGAATTCAGCTGTCAGCACACGCTGGGAGAGAGCAAGAATGCTGAGCTCTGCAGGCCCGTGCACCCCTACCTATGAGGTGTCCCAGCCCACCTTGCTGGACACGCCCCAGTGCACGCGGGGGACCACGATGTAACGGAAGTGCCGCAGCTCCCGCGCACAGCGCTCAGCATTCTGGCCCTCATTCTCGAAGTCCAGCTCCTGGGCCAGGGTCCCCTTCAGGTCCTGGGGGCCAGAGGAGCAGCTGGGGTTCAGGCCGGGGTCCAGCCCACCCTGGCACCTGCAGAACGCCCCAGATGTGGGCTGTGGGTACCTGGAGGACCCAGCTGAAGCCAAAGCTGGGGTGCATGAGCTCCACGAGCTGGAGCAGGAGTTCCAGAGTGTGGATATCCCCGTGGAAGCGATCTCGCAGGTCGATGTACTGCACCTGCGTTGGGGCCGTTCAGGGGGCTGGGCCGCCCCACAGACCCCCACAGCGCAGGGAGGCCTACCTACCTTCACAGCCACGGCAGTGCCGTCATGCAGTTTGGCTCGGTGCACCTGGGCCAGGCTCGCAGCGGCTATGGGCTGGTAGTCAAACTCCTGGAAGAGCTCCTGCGGCGGGGCCTGGAAGTCTTCAAGGAACAGCTCGTCCACCTGGCAGGAGAGGGTTCTTGGAGGGGCAGGGCCCACAGCCAAGGCCCAGCTCCCAGCCTTGGTGCTCCAGAGCTCACCTCCTGGAAGCCGCGCTTGAGGGCCTTGTCTTCCAGCACACGCAGTGTCCTGACATACTCAGGCGGCAGCAAGTGGTTGAAGGAGCAGAGCCCCTGGCCCAGCTTCACATAGAGGCCCCCGTTGCTGATGGCCCCGGCCACGAGGGCATCAGCTGCCCGCTGGTGACATGCAGACATCACCTCCAAGTACCCTGGGCTACTCTGACCACAGGCATAGAGGGGAGGGCAGGGTGGGTGGGTGCCTCCTCAGGTTCCCAACACCCACCTCCAGGGCATTCCCCACCCCCACACTGCAGACAGGCCTGGCTGGGGCCCAGGATGCAAGACAAACCTCTGCCACCCCTCGCAGGACGATGTTTGTGCACCACCAGTAGTCCAGCGAAATCTGAAGGCCAATCCTCAGAGACCTGCCGGCAGAGGCCGCCCTCAGCCCCCCTCAGGCTCTCAGTCCCACACACCACTGTGCCTAGCCCGCCCCTGCCAGCCTCTGCCAGTCAGGTGCACACGGTCGGGGCAGAGGACCAACTCTGGTCCAGCCTCCTTGCTCTTGGGACAGGATTGCCAGCGGGTCAGTCTCAGCTCCTGGACAGCAGCACAGGCAGCCTGTATCCACGTTACCCCTCAGTCCCTGAACAGGTACCAGTGGGTGCCCAAGCCAGATGGGGGGCCAGAGCAGGATGGAGGCCTCAGGCCCAAACACCCAGGCATGGTTTCTTTTTCATCCTTTTGTAGCGTTCATTATAAAACAAAGTCCATCCGAAACCTAGCAGAGCTGTGATGGGCAGCAGAGCCGGCTGCAGTGCCTGAGGACACGCCCTCGCTCCAGGCTCCCCCCTAAACGGGGTCCTGCTCCACACACGGGATGGGGGCACCCAGACAGCTGGTCCCCGAGCTGGGGCTCCCAAGCTCTCCAGCCGAGGGTATGGTCCTCTGCATCCCCTTCTGGTGGCAGGTCCGGGTCCTCACCCACTGCCCCACACCCCAGGCTATGGACAGAAGAACCCAGGACTGGAATCCAGGCCTCCAGTGCTGCAGACCCCAGGCCCTGGCCTGGACCTTTATGAGAGGGGTGTGGGTCTCTTCCTCGTGACAGAAGCCCCTGCGAGGCACGGAGCCACGGGGCCAGGCCAAGCCTCTCCCTGCCACTACAGGAGGGCCAGAATTAAAAGGCGAGAAGAATTTGGTGAAGGGGGGAGCCTAGTAAACATAATTTTCTTCATGTAATTGTAGATTAATGATACCAAAAAACCCCCACAAAAATGTTAAAAAAAAAAAAAGGCGAGAAGCACTGGCTGGGCATATGCCAGCCAGCAGCCAAGGGGGACATCTTAGAGCAACAAGGAGCCCATGCCTGGTGCTTGACAAGCCAGCCTCCACGACCAGCTGTGTCCCACTCACCTCAGCCCCACACAGCCCACAGCGTTGTCTGTGAAGAAGGGCATGTGCAGACGGCCAGGCAAGCATGGTGCTCCCTGGAGACACAGTGGAGGGCTTCCCTCCTTCCAAAAGCCAGTACAAGGTCTCAAAGGGGCCACAGTGAGGGTGGTGGGGGTGACAGCTACACCCAGGGTCACTCATGGAGTGAGTCACTAAAGACAAGGGAGCCAGGTTTCCCCCAGCCGGAGTAGGGAGTCACAAGCACAGGAGAGCACGAGAATGATCCTGTGCTGGAAGTGGGGTGCACTGCGTGAGCCAAGGCCAAGCACCCACAGCTGCAGACAGACCTTGCACATCCCCAGCCCGTCCACCGGAGGGCCCAGGAGCGGGCAGCCCAAGGTGGTGGCATGGTGGGCCCTCGTGGGCCCTGAGGACCTAGGTTCCCTGGGGAGGGGCCAGTGCACGGCTGGGAGAGAGGAAATGGGCCCGGAGCGTCCAATAGTACCAGACCGAGTAAAATGCTCAAGAAGTGGAGACCCGTCAAAAGGACGTGAAAATATTGATAGCAAGAACTAGGCTCACTGTGCAGCCTTCCCAACCCCAGTGTGTGCTTAGAAGGTTTTAGAATGAAATGTTGCAGATAAAAGAAAATGGTCACACCTGTTCTCTTCTTGACACATTTTCTCCCTGGGGATCTCAACCACTCTCACTGCTTTAAACATAACCTCTACTAAGGTCTTACAATTTTGTATCTCCAGTACAGATCTTTTCCCCAAAATCCAAATTCACTTGTCATTTCAACATCTCAATGCTATCCAACAGACATCTATATTGGGTTCCTAGGACTGCCATTACAAATTTCCACAAACTTGGTGGTTTAAAACAACAGAAACGTAAAAAAGAGAAAAGAAAATGGTCACAGAAGTCAGGTTGAAGGGGCTCCCACCAGCCAGCCTGGAACGGTTGGTCTTAGTGGCAGAAGAGCAGCAACACGAGCAGATGGTGAGCCGTGGAACAAGAGCCGTGAGGCCAGATGAACACGAGAGTGAACAGGGAGGTGAGAAACCCCTACGGCAGGAGAACGACCGGTAAGTACCCTGAGGGGCAGGCAGACTCCGGCCCAGGTCAGAGGCAGGAGACCCAGTGAGGCTGAGCAGACAGGCCGCAATCCCATGCCCGGGACAAACCAGGACGCGGCACCCCTCCTGGGCTGTTCTTGCCAAGATGCAACTAGTCACGGAACAAACCAAATCAAGGGACCATTTACCCAGGAGTCAGTCCACTTTTCCTTTACAAGATCGCACAGTAAGTACTTTATGTTTTGGGGCCCTCTGGTCTCCACTCTGCTGTCACGGTGAAAGCATGTGGGTGTGGCTGCCTTTCCAAGAAAGCTCTACTTATAAGCTTCACCCGCCCAGTTTTGCTGACCCTTGCTGTACAATATTACTGGTCTGTAAGCCTCCAAATGTACCAGAGTTACTGTGTCATGAAGAATCAACTTCACCCAAAGAGGCGCCTGGCCTTTGTCCCGCTGCTGGCCTCCAAGCCCACAGAGTTTCAGCAAGGGGCTCAGACAGCCATGTGATCAGAGCTGGGGGGCTCTGAACTGGGACAGCCCCACCAAGGAAGGGATGGGGCTGGAGACTGAATCTGATCACAGTGTGAACGATTTAGTTGACGGTGCCTGTGTGATGAGTGTGACACCGAAGCTCGGGGGGACGATCCCAACGTCCTGTGACACTCATGGCAGGGCGATAACACATCTCAGGCCCTCTGGGCCCTCCTGGACGTCGCCCTGCTGCATCCTCAGCCTGGTTCTGCTGTGTCTCCTTTTGCCATCTTAATGCTGCGATCGCAGCACAGCATGTTTCTGAGGTCTGTGAGCCATCCTGGGGCCATCAGCCTGAGGGAGGCTGTGGGGACTCCACACTGCAGCTGGCGTCGGATGTCCTGGGCAGACACGGGGCCTGAGGGCCATGTCCCAGCCTCTTTCAGCCATGAGTGCCAAGGAAGCGGGGGGCCTGTTCCAGACTGGGGGAGATCAGAGATGGCCCCTGGGTAGCGCCCTGTGCTGGAAGGTGGTTACCTAGCACCTGCTCGGGTTGAAGGGCCACGTGTCGGCCCCCTGCCTGTGCTTGGAGGGCAGTGCCCTGGGTTAGGAGGCACACTAAAAGTTTCAGGATGAAGGAGCTTGTTGACAACTGCAAATATTTTGAGAAGAAAAAAGTTATTCGTATTATTCTTCCAGCTCTTCTGGACATTGGTAATTGTGTCCACAAAAAAAAAAAAAAAAGAGAGAAAGCAAAGCCCAAAGGATTTTAAAAAGTTAAAAAGTTGAGTAAGTGGTGGGGGGTAAGAAACAGGGGCCCTGGTGCAGACTCCCACAAGCCCCGTCTCTGAGCATCTGGGCACATGGCACACCCTGACGTCTGTTCTGCTACAGAGCAAGCTCCCGACTCTTCTTGTGGCGAGCTGGTCCTGACCCCCTACCTGCCCCTGCTCCTTCAGCTCTGGCACGTACGCTGCCCCTTGTCCAGGATGCACTGTATGCCCCCAAGTCCGCAGAGGCCCTGCAGCCACCCAGCACGCAGCCCGGGAAGCTCCACTGGGCGTGCCTGTCCTGGCAACTGTCAGGGTCTGGAGCTAAAGAGAAGGTGCAAACTGCTGGGAAAATAATAGTTCTAGCCCCACTGCCTCTGACCCAGCTCAGCCTGTGAGAGCGAACTGTGAAGATACATTTTCCCAGGAGGGATGCCCTGCTGCTGGGGCATCTGACACTGGGGAACAGCACCACATGTGAGGTGAAAGATGAGACAGGCCCAGATATGCTGGGTGCATTCTGGACCCAGGCTGTGCGGTCCCCACACAGTGCACGGCCACAGGAGGGAAGACAGCCAACTCCCAGGCTCTGCCCTCTTCAACCTCAGGACTATGGGGACTGGCCACTGCCCGGAACCTGCCATAAAGGCGACCCAGCACTCTGGGCAGGCCATTGGCTGGCCACCCAGGGAGGCAGTGCAGGGCTGCAGCCAGCTCCGATGAGCTGAGAGGGGAGCGGGTCTGCCGTGTCCTCACGGCAGGAGGCAGGCAAGCACTGAGCTACCCACCTGTCTGCAGCCGTCGCTGGCATGAACTGTGAACCTTCCGGCTAAGTGCCTGACAACCTTGGCTATCCTGCACCTGTCCTTGAGTAGCTGACCTAGAAGGGACTGCGGGTGCTCAGAGTGGGACACCCCCTCCAGGGTGTATGGGGACCCCTTCCCCAGGCAATCACATGCACCCCCGAGCCCAACAGTAGGTCTGGGTAAAGTGAAATTCACTCAATGCCAAGAGCTGGTTCTTAGGACTTTGTGGGAATTCCTAGACCTGACCAAGAGCAAGAATCCCTGGTGGAATGTTTCAAGAGGAAGGCCGGCCTACTGCCCAGGGTCCCACACCAGGAGATAGGGCCTTTCATGAGGGCACCCTGGATGTGAAGGATCAGCTTCCACCCGCACCCTGTCCAGTTCCCTGTACACATGGAGGGGAGACGGCAGCCCCCCAACAGAGCCCCAAACTCTGCTGGACACAACTCTCCTTCGGGCAGTGTGGGTGGGAAGGAGGAGGGGAGGCAGCTGTTCGTCTGCCCACCAGCCAGCAGAGTGTGAGGTAGGGGTGGTATCGGGCCCCTGCAGCCCCTTCGCCCCACAGGCCAAGGAGGATCTGCAGGGCCTGTGGGGGCTCACCCACACTGTACCACGTGTACCTGTCACCCCGTAGTGGGCCCTGCAGCCCCGCCCTCCCCAGCCCCTCCTGCCTGCTGAAGCGCCCGATGCCGTCTGCCATGAGCCGCATCCGCCTCTTCTCCTGAGGCTCCGCCGTGAAATAGCGGATGCCGAGGAGCAGGGGCATCCCCATCACTGTGGCGGAGAGGGCCTTCCTCCACAGGGGCCGGGGTCTCCAGGACCTGGAGGGAGACGGAGGTGCACCCCCAGGTCACCTTTCACCTGCCACCTCTGTCCTGCGGGCTTGCGTGTGCTCCCACAGCCCAGGGACCCGCAGCTGGGCCATGAGCCTCTGCAGGTTACCTCAGGTCAGCACTGTGGCCACCGGAGCAGCTGCCTCCCCTCCTCCTTCCTGCCCCCACTGCCCCAAGGAGAGTTGTGTCCAGCAGAGAGTTTGGGGCTCTGCTGTCTCCCCTCCATGTGTACAGGGCACTGGACAGGAGGCGGGTGGGTAAAGGGCAGGGCTGTGTCCTCAAGCCACAGGGCACACACACTACACAGAGCCACAGCTGCGGTCCACCCTGCTGACAGCCCAACCGGACTGCAGACAAAGGGCAGCACGTGACACATACTGAATGAGGGAGGGCTCAAAACAGGGAACCCAGGGCACCCAACAAGCACCACGTGTCTGCCCCACATCGAGCAGCCCGCATGCTCAGCAGCTCACCTGCTGTTCTGCCAGCCTGTCTGGCCTCCCGCCTGGAGCCCCCTCTGCACCTCATGCTGCTCTCACCTCCTGTTCTGGCCCCAACCCCTTCACTCTGAACCTTTCCTGTTTTCCTTGGGGCCTGCAGGCAGCCGTCCCTGGGACTCATCCCAGGGCAGGACCTTGACAGCTGTGGGTCCCAGGGCACCACACCAGGAGCCAACGCACCCCATCTTGGGGTGGGGCTACAAAAAAGATCCAGTGTCAGGCCCACAGCGGAGGCTGTCCATCCCTACCTGGTGAGAGGCATGTGCCCACAGGGCCCCATGGCTAACGAGAACTCACCCTCTCACAGGCAGGGCCCTCAGGTGTCTCCTGGAGAGGGCGGCAGGCAGCAGCCATGGCTTCATCCCGCTCTGCAGCAGAGCGCAGTGTAAGCGGCAAAGCTGTGACTGCAAAGTGAGCAAATGGCACAGGGTCAGGCAACACGGGCACGCCTGGCCTTCTGCCAAGCTGACATCACACAAGCCTGATGCTGGGGGGCAAGATGTGCCTCCCGCTACCTGCACCCTGATATGCTCCCCAGGAATGCCAGCACTTCCAGGGGCATGCACGGGGTGGGCCCATGTATTTGACTCTGGGATGCAATGATTCCACCTCTCAAGAGCAAGGCTGGGGTCAAAGGACCATGTGGAGAAGACTGCACACAGTTCACAGGGGGCTACTGCTAAAACGACCCGCCTTTGAAGGTCCCGACAGACCCTGCCTGCTGCTCCGACCACTGGCCAGAAGCCTCAGGAAGACCCTCGCAGTTCAGAACTGGTGTCAAGAATGCTTCATCACACAGTCAGAAAGAGTATCTCAGACGCTGAGCCAGAAGACGCAACGCAGGAGAAACAGCCCGTATGTGTGGGCTGCTGTTTGGAAAGCAAGTGAACACACAGGACTTCCACGTACGTAGCCCCAGAGGTGGGGACCTGGGAAGCTGCCACCTGGAGGAGGGGGCAGGGAAGACCAGGTGGGAGCCCAGAGTCTCAGAGCTACGGAGACCCTGCCGAGGCGGCACCTCCCTGCAGCGACAGCACATGGCTCTGCTCCGCCCACCAGCAACCTTGGTCTCCCGATCTCTTTTTTTTTTACTATACTGTTCCCTCTGATCTCGGTGATTTGAGTCATAAGAAATTCATATTTGGTCATTCATGACCAAATATATATTTCCCAGGTATATTTGGTTCTCACCCACAGTTCCTGAAAGCACTGCAGTCTTAAAGGTGAAATGGGTGTCTTGTCATGTTAATGAGACTTTAGGATCCCCCTCACCCTGTCCCCCGCCAAGGCTGGAGCTGGAGGCTGAATCATTATGGCCAATAATTAAGTCAATTACGACAATGACTGACTGAAGCCCTCACAAACACCCCCAAGGAGCTGATCTCTCTGCCCGCCTGGATCCTGACGGAGCTTCCAGGCTCCGGGAACAGGAGGACCTCCACGAGCCACCCAGCCAGGCCCCAGGGGGTCAGGAGCTCCTTCATCGGGGGCCTTGCGCTGTGCATCTCTTCACTGGGCTTAACCTGTATCCTTTAAGGATATCCTTTACTAAACTGGTAAATGTGTTTTCCTGAGGTCTGTGAGCCACTCTAGTACATTAACCAAACCTAACAGGGAGGTCGTGGGAGCCTCCAATCTGCAGCTGGTAAGGTCAGAAGCACAGGGAACTGTGCCTGGAGTCAGGGGTGGAGGAAAGTCTCGCAGGACAGAGCCCTTAACCTGGGGAATCTGGTGCCGTCTCCTCCAGGCAAAAAGGGTCAGAGGTGAGTTCTTGGATACCCTGCTCGTGTTTGAGAACTGCTTGGTGTGTGTGTAGGAAGACCCCCACCCACAGACTCACACACAAGACTCAGGTCTGGGAACCCAAACGCAGTTACACAAGTCTTACTGCTCTGCAGAATGTTACTGTTATACATATAGGAAAGAAACACCATTGCATTTGGTGTCCTAGGAGTGGGATTAACAGTCTCCCACTTATTTGAATTTGGAGGTTTTAAGAGTTCTTGAACAGCAAAATTCCCAACTCTGTATTCTCAGTTTTTAGGGAAAAAAACTGTGCATAGTAAGTCATAACCCACAGCATAGATACTAACATTATTCTTTTAAACCCTGAGCTGAGTAAGGAACTCACTTCCCATTCACTTTCCGGCCAAAGCACACAGCCCTGAAAACTCTCTCAAGGCCTGCCAGCAGCAGGAGTCTGAGGAGAAGGTCCGTGACCTGGCGTCCCAAGAGGGCAGCAGGCGCCAGTGAGAACCCGGCTGACGCAGCTGCCCAGTGAGTGCGGATCCTCAAGGAGGGCCCCACGGAGGCAGGAAAGGAGCCAAGGACGAGCAGGGGGCAGATGGGGCCTAGGGCGCCTAGGCGTTCTGTGCCCCAAGGCAGCACAGGCTGACAGGCCACAAGCATGGCACACACAACAGCGGAGGCAGCCCTGAGAACCAGCATGTGGCCACAGCTGCTTAGAACATTAAGTGCCTGCAGGATGGACGGTTCCAGGCTGAGACCCCGACCACCTCCGACCTTACATTCCACAAGGGCTTGTGACGACAGCAGGTGTGTTGGGAGGAAGAGCCCTGCCTGTTGCTGCAGTGTCCCCTGCCCCCAGATGAAACTGCCAGGCTTCGTCTGGCCTGTCTTCTCTCCAAGGAGGTCTCCACACCCCCCACCATACTGATCACCCGATTCCACATCTACTACAGATTCTCCCCAAAAGGCCCAGCGTGTGACCAGGGGCCACAGACGGAAGCAGGCAGAGCCAAGGGGCGGCCGGGCAGCTTGGGGTATGAGCGAAGGAGGGGTCCTGAGAGCTGGCTTGGATGGGACTTCCACGCGGACACTGGGGAGGGTCTTCTGAGCAGAGGACATGGCGTCAGTAAAGGCCTGAAGCCAGGAGACGACAGGGCATTTCTGAGAGGGTGACAGGCTTGTGTGGCTAGAAAACAGTAAGTGCTCAGAGGTGGGGAAGGGGCTGCCCAAAAAGAAACAGGTGGGCAATAAAGTGAGCTGGAACCAGTCGGGGCATCCCAAGGGGCCCCTGAGTTTTCCTCCAGGAAAGGAGCAATCAGCCCAGGAGGAGGCAGGGGCAGGTGTCCAGACAGCTGAGGCCCAGGGAGGGGCCTGGGTGATGGAGCCATGTAGACTTGGAACATGTGAGATGACCCCGAGGCTGGCACCTGAGGGCTGGGGACCGCGCTGCCCGCCTCTCTGGCCAGTGAGGGTTCAGCCGTGGTTCTGGCCTTCCCAGCAAGACCACAAGCCACTGACTGAGAGCTGACAACAGCTGCCAGCGGCCTGCCCCAGGGGGTTGACATCCATGACTGTGACCCTGAGAACACCCCACCAAACAGGGCCAGAGTGTGGGGCAACCTCCAAACAGTCGTTTTGGATCCGAGGTGGGAACTGCTGGAGCTAGGCACCGTCCTATCAATTCTACTTCTGCAAATATTTGCAACTTTTCATGACAAGAGGTTTAAAAAGAAAAAAAGTAGGAGTATCACAGCCCAGAGGCTGGACAGACTCAACACCAAGCTCAGAGCGCAGCCCAGGCGGCCTCGGCCTGACAGGAAGAGCCTTCACAGCACTGCTGGGCCTGCAGGCAAGCCAGAGTGTGGATCGGACTCAGGGCATGACTGTTAGTATTTCAGACACCGTGAAATTACCCCGGCTGTGTGAACGTGTCCTGTTGTGGGGAGTGAGTGGGCGAGTTTAGGGATTATCACAACGTCTACTATATTGGCTCACTTGCAAATGGTTCAGGGACAACCCACCCCAGAGGCTGGGTAGAGCCCAGGCTGGAACCTGGCGCAGACTCCAGACCCAGACTTGTGGGACCGGAGCTGGGGTCCGGCCCCAGCACTTGCCAGCTGTGCAGTATGGGTGAACTGCTCCCGCCCTGTGACTCAGTTTCTGTCTGCAGAGCAGGGACTACAGCACTACTGGAACGCAGGTCAGCTGGCACTGGCAGGGCTCTGGGAGGGGCCGTCAGCCCACGGGGCGCAGTGATGCTGCGGTGCAGGCTTGGTGGAGGTACCACTGAGGCCGCCCTCCCCCAGGCGCGCCACACTGTCCACCGGTCCCCAGTGCCCTTGCCGTCCTCCCGACAGCCCTGCTCCTCCAGGCCCTCCCCGTCTGACACCAAGTGCGTACTTGCTGGTAGGGCTGAACTGAACTATTCCTCTTAGAAGACTGTCAGCTTCCTCCTGGTTTTACAGAAGGAATAAAAATGGACTGGAAGATGAGAGAGACCACTGCCAACAGGAAGAAGCCCAGAGCTGGGTTCTACACAGGCCGTGCAGGAATGCCTTGTGGCTAATGGAGCGGGAGGGTACCAGCAGAGTGGACGGGCATGTGTGCTCGCAGCTCCAGTGGGTTCCCTGATTCCCTGTGGTGAAGGAGGGACATGGCTGAAGCTGGTGGGCAGTGATTATCCCACGCCATTAGCACTCAGGAGGAAAGGAGGTCTAGGAGTTACTCCAGTGGGTGTGCCAATTAATGGCAGGAACAGCAAGGGCCTCGCCATGCAGAGGCCATGAGTCCCTGAGCTGAAGCAAGAGGAGGGGGCAACACGCAGGAGCCCAGGCGCACCCACTCCCAGAGCAGGGGCTGCCCACACCCCCGTGAGGGCCACACTGGTATGACAGAGAGACAGAGCTCAGCCCCGCGGTCCTGCCAGCTGGAGGAGGCCCAAGGTCCACTAGGGAGGCTCGGGGGAGCACACAGAGTGGGGACTCAGGACTCACCCTCAGAGAAGTCTGTGTGATGCTGGCCAGGCACCAGCCCTCAGGGGCTGCTCAGGTTTTCTGGTGGCCCAGTGGAACAACACAGAATATACAGATGGAGCAGGGCCGACCCAGCTGAATGCTGAGCCCCATGCTGGAGGAGACTGGCCTGGTCTGCTTGCCCCATGCCCTTCCCCTGTGCCTGGGGGCTCCACTCCTCGGACACCTTTCATGTGTGAAATGGACATGACAGTGCCCACCTTGCAAAGCTGGAAACGGAGCACCTCATTCAGGGCCTGGCATTTTGTGGGTACAACTTCTTTGTGCACCTGCCTCTCAAAAGACCCCACACATGACCCCCAGATGGAACTGCTGGCACAGCCAGGACCCAAGGCGGGCTGCGTCTCAGTCAACTCCCTTTCCAGTCCCATAGTGGCTGCAGTGAGACACCTTCCCCCCACCCCCATGGAGGGGTCCTGACAGCCCAGGACAGAGCACATTGTCCTGGGGAGTCACTGATATGCAAGGGTTAGTGAGTATGCACCAGCAACTTTAAACATCATTTTCATATGAAAACCTACAGCTCTTTATGGAGGAGCATGCTATATCTGAATCATTTTATACTAAAGCATGAGGCCCTGGCAGTGCCCCACCTCCTGATGCCACCCCACTGTCAGGGGGTCTGGGGGGTAAGCTGAAGACCACAGTCCACGAGGTGCTGAGTGCCCTCGTGTACACAGGCTCAGAGGGTGCAAGGCCACAAGAGTGACCACCGCTGACCACAGCCCCAGCAACAGTTCTCTGAGGAGCCACCATGGCATAGGTTTATCTGGTCACCCTCCACTCGTCTCCCAGCACTACCTCCTTGTTCACACGCCACTGACACAGATCCCTCTGGCAGACCGCAGCGCCGGACCCAGGCTGCTCTCCAGGCAGCCGTACTGCCTGGAATGAGGAACACCCTCCGCCCACCAATTCACCACCGCTCCTGTCTTGCCACTGCCCCTCCCCACCTCTGCACCTTGTACATGTCTGTCCCACAGCCCTTACTGCACAGGCATGGGACTGTCAGTTTACAGACTCCCTTAGACTGAGCATGGCCCACCTCTCAATCATCTCTGTTCTTCCAGGAACTAGCATCCTGTGCTTGCTAGAAGCAGCAGAAACTCCAATGCTTACTGAATTGCGAAACAGTGGCTAAAGCACAGAACGAACTAGAACACCACATGGCTCAAGTGAGGAAGTCAGCCGAGCCACAGGTGGAAGGCAGCAGTGAGGCAGGAGAGGGCGGCGGCCCCCGCAGCAGCCCTGCCCTGGGCAGGACCCCGAGAACGAGGCCATGTGCCAACAGCCCCAGAGGCCCTGCCGGGGCACACAGGGCTGTGCAGGTGCCTGGGCCCTTCCGGACAGTTTGGGACGCCATGCTCTTCAAACCATCGACATCACACAGGAGACATCTCTGAAGGCCGAAGAGGTCACACAGCTATAAACATGGGGCAGAGCCTGTAGCCAGACCTCCCAGGAACCAGTCCAGGGTGATTTCCACCACATCCCATATAACGCAAACCATACCGGAGCACTGGAGCGTGGCAGGAAATGGCACAGACAGGGCTGTGTGAGATGCTCCCACACACCGGTGCCTCCCCAAGACGACCACCCGGCTCATGTTGCCTGGGACAGTCGAGGCTTACACTTGTCCCAACAGCCTCCCACCCAAAGCCTTCCAGTTTGGACAAGATGAGCCTCCTCCACCCCAAACTCTTGTGCTCTCTTGGCGTGGCTGCAGTTTGCCTGCAGAAACAGAGCACCCATCCGGGGCTCAGCCAGCAACCTATAAAGAAGCAAAAAAGAGCTCCAAGGATTGACACTCAAACAGGTAGTACAAAGCTCACAAAAGTGTGCCCCTGAACACAGAGCACGAGCCTGTGTCCTCACGGTTCAGGCACAAGCTGGGCCGTCTGTTTCTCTAGCGCCCTGCAGATCGGACACAGCGAATGGTGAGAGAGAGAGACGAAGGGCTGCTGCAGACAAGCCAGCCACGTGAGAAGCGACGGCAGAACCTCAGGATGAGGCCGGAAACGAAGACCACACCAGGCTAGCAGGAACCCGGGCAGCCAGCGGCTCTCCGCACCTCACTGGGGGAGGAAACCAGAGTGCAGAGGTTCTCCTGGCGAGGAGGCGGAGGTGCTCGGAGGACCATGAATGAATGCCCTGCCCTTTTCTCTTCCAAGAGTCTGTGACCCTCAGCACCAGTCACCAGTCAGAAGCCTGCGGGCCCCACGCCACCGCCCACCCACTCCTAGGGCTGTCCGGGAAATTAGGTGACCTGAACCTGCGAAAGGTCTGTGGACCGTAAAGCGCTGCACCAAAGGCTGACTCACGGGCCCACACTGCTGTTGTTCCGGCCCATAAAGCGCCCTCATGCAAGGGAACTGCTCACTGCGGGTCCCAGCAGTGCGTGGAAATTCGTCTGTACTATTAATACCTAAGCCTACAAGGCTGAGCTTACTAGAAAAGTACAGGCTGTACAGAAAATTCCACGTTGGAAATGCCGCTGAATCCTTTGAGGAAAGAGCCAGGTTGTTGGGGGGCGGGTAGGACCTGGGTCAACGATCAGGACACCCAGTTGGAAGGGTGCCGCTCCTCAGGGCAGATACGCAGCAGCCCGGGGGGCCCGGCCGAGAACCAGGCTGCGAAGCCAGCCGCCGCCGCGGGGCCAAGGCGGGCACGGCGTCGGGGAAGGCCTGAGGGAGGGGGGCTTTCCGGGCAGAACGGGGGTCAGAGCCCCCCAGACTGCCGCCCGCAGCACCCCCAAGGTCCTCTCGCCTCCTCAGAGGCAGAGGGATCCGGGGCGGGCTGGTGACCAGAGGGGAAAAGGGCTCCCGAGGGGGCAGATGAAAGGAAAGACGGGGCGCCGGCCGAGGGTGCAGCGGAGAGGGGTGTAGGCAGGCACGGCGCAGGAAACGGGGTAGGAAGGGCGTCCTCCGGCCCAGGGAGCGGGGACGGGCCGCCGCCGAGGCGAGGCTGCCCGCGGCGCACCTGCCCCTGAGAGGAGCGGGCGCGCTGCGCGGCGGGCGGTGTCCCTGGGGGGCTTCTTCGGGGCCCGGGGCCTACGAGGGCGTCGGAACCCAGGGTGTCTGAGGGCTGGGGCGGGCTCCCACGAGGGCCCTGAGGGTTCCGGGCGGGCGGCCGGCGGGGAAGGGGCGCGGGGCCGCGTCGGCAGGAGGCTCACCGGTCGCCACATCCTCCTGCCGCGGCTCCGATCCCGCTTTGCGCAGTGCGCAGGCCCGGCGGGGGGCGCAGTGCGCACGCGCGCACGCCGGCGGGGCCGGAACCGGAGGGCCTCGTCCGGGGCGTGCCGCGCCCCCTGGCGGCCCTCCGCGGCCTAGCTCCCTGGCTGGGGCAGCGCAGTCTCGGGGCTGCGGGGGCCGGGGCGCGAGGCGGGGCCTCTCCCGCCCGGATGGGAGCTCGGGGAGTCAGCACTCGGGTCCCAGGAACTGCACGGGCGGAAGCGGAGAGGGACCGGGCCCCAGGGGCGCCAGCGCGGAGCGTGCTGGAGCCAAGGACCTGCGCAGGTGAGGGTGGATTTTTAGCTTTCGGGTCCTGCTTTCCTCGCTGCAAAATGAGGTTGTAACTCGGGAGCTAATGTAGCGCCTCGCCCCTTGCAATGCCCTTGAGCGCCCGGGTGTGCCCGCTGCTGCGGGACAGGGCTGCATGCCGCCCTGAAGGTGAGCAGAGGCGGCAGGACAGCGAAGGGTATCCCTGCCTAGGCAGGGCGGACGGCCTCTCCTTCGCAGGCCTCTCCTCCTTCCGTTCACCCGCCAGTGGCACCATTGGCTGCGGGTGTTCTCCTCTGGCAGTCATGGCTCCGCACTCTCCTGGTTCCCCGTGAACCTTACAAATAAAACTGTCAGCTATTTTAGCAGCAAAAATGGGTTTATTTGGGAGTAACAGAAGCTTACAACGTGGGACAAATTAGTGCAAAATTATTGGCAAGTCCAGAGAAAAAAGAAAGAGGCGGCCCCCCTCATGGAGGAGAAGGGCTTGTCAGTGTTTTTGCTGCTTATCGGCTGGGCTGTTGTCGGGGAGAAAGAAACCTTCCTTCTGAGTAAAGTACAGGCTTCTCGCCCTCCCGCACGGCCCCGCCTCCTCCTGCATGGCCTCTCCTTGCGCACCGGTCAGCCCAGGGGTACCTGCTCATTGCAACTATCCCAGGGTCTCCGACCATCTAACAGCACCCCAGGCCTCTTCTGCTGCAGCGTGCCTTACCCAGAATCGTGTTCCCTCCTCCCCAGTGTAACAGATTCGGGGCTCCACACCCTCAACAAATGCAGACAGCAGCTCTCCCAGGTTTTCTGCCCACATTGCCAAGACAGGGCCTTGGCTTCTTGTTTTCAGTGCAGTGCCCGTGGTGTCCAGGCCAGGGCCTGACACAGCATATCTTAAACCCCTCCCATTGCCAGGCTTTCTGAAATGTGCCCAGTCGCACACATTCAGCCTCCCCACCTGCTCCGTATTGTTTAAGGAAACAGGTCCCAGAGACAGTGTAGCCAATGTGGACACCTCCAGCGTGTGAGGAGTGACAACAGCAAAGCTAGGAGGAGCTGGATCACGAGAGCTCAGGCACCACACTGCTGGAAGCCTGGGCCACCGGTGTCCTGTTGCAGGGGACAGGGGTGGGAGGATGGCTTTCCTGTCCACTCTCTGGAAACAAGATGTAGTCATGTCCCAGTCCCCAAACGAATAAAGGAATAAGGTCTATCCTGTGTTCACAACAAAGGTCAGAGGATGGGCCTGAGCTGTCCCAAGCTGCGGGGCCCCTTCTGCATGTCACTGCATACAAAGGCCCCGGGATGAACGGGGGTACCTGCCACTGGTGGTGCTGTGTGGAGTCAATTCCCCAAAACTAGGACTGCTGGGCCCCAGAGCACAAAGAACACCTTCCCCAAGTGACCACTACCCCTGTTCCACTCAAACCCCAGACACAGTCCATGTGTGTGTGTGACGGCCGAGCAATGCCTCCCGCGAGAAGAGACGTCTAGGTCGCAGACTCTGAGTTGTGTGATGACTTTCTTTGCAAGCAGAGTTGTTACAGATGTAATTAAACTAAGGTTCTCTAGATGAGCTCATCCTAGATGAGAATGGGCCCTAAATCCAAGGACTGGCATCCTTGTTACAACTTCTCCTCACTGAATCTCTGCCAGTCCACATACCATGGAGGGACTCAGATTCCCCTTGATTTGTTACTGAGAAGTCTGAGGGGCTTGAGGAGGGGAACACCTGCATGGCTTCACTTATAAGAGAAGGGAGGAGATCGAGACACAGAGAAGCCCATGTGGAGATACCAGCAGAGAGGGAGCAGTGGGGCCACGAGCCCAGCGGCACTGATGATGGCTGGCATCACCAGGGTCAAGGGAGAGCCTAGGAACAGATTCCCCCGAGGAGCCTCTAGAAGGAAAAACCCTGCCAACACCTTGATTTCAGACTTGGCCTCTAGCACTGTGATAGAATACATTTTTGTCCTTGTAAGCTACCAAGTTTGTGGTAATTTGTTCCAGCAGCCCCAGAAAAATAGTAGTGTGATAAAGGTTTATTCAACCTAGTAACTAAAGAGAGAGCAGGGAAAGTGATTGTAAGTTCAAAAGAGAAGTTCCAAAACCACAAATTTATATAGAGTAAAGGAAGGCTGAAATGAATTTAAAAATAGATGGAGATTGGAGATTGGCTTTTTCCAGGGAAGAAAAAAAAATTGAATCTCCACTAGACTTAGTTTATTTGCAAATCTATGAAGAGGAAGTGTCTGCATCGTTGTCGGCCACCTGCGGCCTGCAGAGCTGTGAGAGCCTCGAGGAGGGTGAAAGGCGGGGTCCGAGGGAGCCAGAATCAGGTAACATGGAAGGCGGCCCCCAACAATTTCCATTGGATACATTGTGATACCAGTAATACATTGTGTTTATTCCAAAATTTAAAATATTCATTAGTATCTCCCCCAATCCTTTTTACTAAAAAGGAAAGTCTCAAATAAAGATCACGCCAGGCCATACAATGAGGCTTATCTCGGTAAGCGTGCTCTGGTTACTTACATGGGCACAGCAGGTGTTCTTTTTTTTTTTGGTATCATTAATATACAATCACATGAGCAACACTGTGGTTACTAGACTCCCCCCATTATCAAGTCCACACCACACACCCCATTACCGTCTCTGTCCATTGGGGTAGTAAGATGCTGTAGAATCACTCCTTGTCTTCTCTGTGTCGTACAGCCCTCCCCACGTCCCCCACTACATTATGTGTGATGATCCAAATGCCCCCTTTCCCCCCTTGTCCCTCCCTTCCCACCCATCCTCCCAGGTCCCTTTCTCTTTGGTAACTGTTAGTCCATCCTTGGGTTCTGTGATTCTGCTGCTGTTTTGTTCCTTCAGTTTTCCTTTGTTCTTATGCTCCACAGATGAGTGAAATCATTTGGTACTTGTCTTTCTCCACCTGGCTTATTTCACTGAGCATAATCCCCTCTAGCTCCATCCATGTTGTTGCAAATGGTATTATTTGTTTTCTTCTTATGGCTGAATAATACCCCATTGTGTATATGTACCACATCTTCTTTATCCATTCATCTACTGATGGACACTTAGGATGCTTACATTTCTTGGCTATTGTAAATAGTGCTGCGATAAGCATAGGGGTGCATATGTCTTTTTGAAAATGGGATCCTACATTCTTAGGGTAAATTCCTAGGAGTGGAATTCCTGGATCAAATGCTTTTTTCTATTTTGAGTTTTTTGAAGAACCTCCATATTGCTTTCCGCAATGGTTGAATTAATTTACATTCGCACCAGCAGTGTAGGAGGGTTCCTCTTTCTCCACATCCTTGCCAGCATTTGTTGTTGTTTGTGTTTAGGATATTGGCCATCCTAACTGGTGTGAGGTGATATCTCATTGTGGTTTTAATTTGCATTTCTCTGATGATTATCAATGTGGAGCATCTTTTCATGTGCCTGTTGGCCATCTGAATTTCTTTGGAGAAGTGTCTGTTCATGTCCTCTGCCCATTTTTTAATAGGGTTATTTGCTTTTTGGGTGTTGAGGCATGTGAGTTCTTTATATATTTTGGATGTTACCCCTTGTCGGATATGTTATTTACAAATATATTCTCCCACATTGTAGGATGCCTTTCTGTTTTGCAGATGGTGTCCTTTGCTGTACAGAAGCTTTTTAGGATGATGTAGACCCATTTGTTCATATTTTATTTTGTTTCCCTTGTCTGAGGAGATGCATTCAGGAAAAAGTTGCTTATGTTTATATTCAAGAGATTTTTGCCTATATTTTCTTCTTAGAGTTTTATGGTTTCATGACTTACATTCAGGTCTTTGATCCATTTCGAGTTTACTTTTGTGTTTGGGGTTAGACAGTGATCCAGTTTCATTCTCCTACATGTAGCTGCCCAGTTTTGCTAACACCATCTGTTGAAGAGGCTGTCATTTCCCCATTGTATGTCCATGGCTCCTTTATTGTATATTAACTGACCATATATGCTTGAGTTTATATCAGGGCTCTCTAATCTGTTCCACTGGTCTGTGGCTCTGTTCTTGTGCCAGTACCAAATTGTCTTGATTACTGTGGCTTTGCAGTAGAGCTTGAAGTTGGGGAGCGTTAATCCCCCCCACCCACGTTCTTCCTTCTCAGGATTGCTTTGGCTATTCGGGGTCTATTGTGATTCCATATGAATTTTAGAACTATTTGCTCTAGGTTGTTGAAAAATGCTGTTGGTATCTTGATAGGGATTGCATTGAATCTCTAGATTGCTTTAGGCAGGGTGGCCATTTTGACAATATTAATTCTTCCTATCCATGAGCACAGAATGTGTTTCCATTTATTGGTATCTTCTTTAATTTCTCTCATGAGTGTCTTGTAGTTTTCAGAGTATAGGTCTTTCACTTACTTGGTTAGGTTTATTCCTAGGTATTTTATTCGTTTTGATGCAGTTGTGAATGGAATTGTTTTCCTGATTTCTCTCTCTGCTAGTTCATTGTTAAGTGTATAGGAATGCCACAGATTTCTGTGTATTAATTTTGTATCCTGCAACTTTGCTGAGTTCAGATATTAGATCTAGTAGTTTTGGAGTGGATTCTTTAAGGTTTTTTATGTACAATATCATGTCATCTACAAACAGGGACTGTTTAACGTCTTCCTTGCCAATCTGAATGCCTTTTATTTATTCGTGTTGTCTGATTGCCATGGCTAGGACCTCCAGAACAATGTTGAATAAAAGTGGGGAGAGTGGGCATTCTTGTCTTGTTCCTGATCTTAGGGGAAAAGCTTTCAGCTTCTCTGTGTTAAGTATGATGTTG